ATTTACTCTTTTTGAGAAATTACTCAAATAGCTTCACAAAATAATGGAAACAGATCAAGATCAACACTGTAATAGATCGAGCTGTTTCTGGTTTCTCGGCAGACAGATGTGGCTCATTTGTTTCTCTGGGATGCATTCACTGTCTAGTTCAGTGTCTGTGATCTGAATGGAGCTGAAACAATCAGGTGAGAAAAATGCCAACTGTTATCAATCAGCTTCAACTTCTTTTTATCACTGAATATCTTTGGTCTGTCACACAATGCAAGACATTAAAATCCAGTCAAATGTTCCTATGACATTGTTTTTGTTTAACCTGTACCTGGTTAATGAGCATAATACGGCCTCTGTCAGGTTTCCTTTGAATTAAATGTGCCTTTTTTAATATTTATTAATCACATAAAAGAGGCCTTTTGCAACCACTGTGAACGTTGATTTCTTCAGTTGAATGTGACATAACTTTGTTTTACTGTTTCTGATCTATTATGAATTAAGATTAGAGTTAAATGTCAATAAAGATTCACATCATTTAGTTTTTAGTAATTCTGTTTGTCGTAGCAGCTTTCTAATCAGCTGTGGTCTAGAGAGAATAATCAGTAAGGTAATAAACGTACAGCAACACAATATTCGTATTAAAAGCAATAAGGATCTTTATACTTGCAAGTATGACGTCTCCTCCAAAAGAGCACGTACCTTTCTGAGTGAAACAGTGTCTCTTTATAGGAGGACATCAAAGCAGATTTACATTACAACAACATTCTGGGAAGCCAGCTGACACCCCCTCTGACACAGTATGCAAAACCTTCACTCAATACAAGACAATGGGATAAACAGATACCACTCAGCCACAGTATGCAAAAACCTTACCCCCTCTGTTGACCATACATTTAAGAATCTCTCCCATGCTGTGACCTAATCAGAGGAACAGTTTACAGTCTGCAATGTTAATACACTTGATCACACAATTTCCATAACATGTTTAATTGGCTTATATAAATAGCGATTTGCTGTCGATCAGTAGAGACAATTGCCATACTTCATGTCTTCTCGATGCCATCTGGCTACACCAAGCCAGCTATCGTTCATCATTGTGTCCTGTTGTGAAACGAGCTCAAACATAAAACCACTGGAGAGGAAAATGGTCTCACTTCCATCACCCTGACATCCTGTCTCTCTCGAGGGACCTTTCTTAGCCATGTTAGGGGTTGATTTCTCTCCCCGAGCTCTTCCGTTGGCCCCTCTCTGCCTGGGAGTCTGCAACAAAAGCCTGGTCTCTTAATGGAGCTTTGCTGTTCTCCTCCGCCCACACAGCCCTACTGTACCGGGCACAACTTGGTGTTTGTTCCTTAAAAAGGTTTACCATGAAAGCAGGGTCGCTGCCCCCTCTCTGCTTTGTAGGAACTTCCCCTACTGTAGGAGGATGTGTGAGTGGAAGTCTTCTCTCGGCTCATTTCTCCCTCCAAGGTTCAGTGTGCTCGGCGAAGATGGTGGGTGGGTGTGTTAAGATGGCAAGAGAACTGAAATGGAACTCCCAGATTCGCCGCCTACACGCCGTTCCCTCATAAAAGCACCAGTTCTCTTTAGTCTGGCTATCTGCCTTCTCCATGTCAGTGTGATTGTCAAGCTTTGTGTGATCTGCTGTGACTCATTCATCATTGTGGAGAGCACTGGTGTTGCTCTGCTTTCTTTGCAGATAACGCCGAGACCAAACCGTTTTTCTGTGGCTGTAGAGAAATGTGCGCAGACGAGAAGTGCTGATGACTTAATTTACTTCCCCGAAACGCATCTTCAGAGACGTAGCGATGTTTTGCATCAAAGCGTTCTGTGGAAAGGTGGAAACATCCAGTGGTATAAATATAACGGACGCAGGATGTTTCTATCTATTCAAACCAACGCTCTGCAGCTGGAGAGACAGGATTTGCAAGGGTTTCAAGCAAACCCATTAGAGGTTAAATCTGCTAAAGCGAGCCAAAGTGAGAACACAGAGTACAGGTTCTGTTTGAGAAACTAGAAAAATACATTTTAAACACAATTACATTTCTGTGTCTTTCCATCCACCTGTTTTTATTTGGATGCTCGTTTTAAGCATAAGAACAAATGTGAGTTAACACGGCAGCAGACTTACATGAAGCGTGTGACTTATTTGTCACTCAACCTTATGCAACATTGAATAGACAAAACATGTGTCAGATAAGTATGGAGCGATAAGGCTTTACTCCTGCAGCCACTTTCACACAGTTATTAATTGACAGTTAATTAATGGGCGTAAAACACGTAGCAATGCCCCAAAAAATGCTTGTTAGAAGACGGAAAACTAGTGAACATTGATTTTAACAATGTACGATTTAAAAAAAAAAAAATGATATAATGATATAATGACCTCAGAAGGTTTGTTGTAACTTAAGGATGCGCAGAATGGATCTTTATTGGTCTCAAAATATGGATAAATGTCCTACTTGGCTGCAAATATAATCTGAATGTGTAGTGTCACAAGAGATGTTTTAAGGAAGACTAAATGTTTCATCATACGTGGTTATCCACTGCAGCTTCAAACGCATCTTTCACAGGAGAGCCTGCAGTGCTGCTACGTATAAAACAGTTTACCAGCTTCGCATGATATACAAATGTAATTATGTTATATAACCCGCTTACTTTTTTTGTCATTGAGGTTATAATTCGGTTTGTCCCCGAGCAGCACCGGGTCCGACGATGACAATCTGTTATCTCCTGCGTAGTGAATGCTTCTTGGCTCTGACGATTTTTGATGCTCTCCATATCTGCCGAACACTTTGCTATCTCCCAGTCAACAGGCACTCACATTGTCAATGCCCGCTAATTGAATAGTCAGAGCTGGACAGAGAAGCAGGCATTTTTAATTCTAACTTAATCATTCCACTTTATCGTCTTCTATAATTCAGACAGGAGACAAATCTGTTTTTAAAAGGATACTCAAGCGCAATGTTATTCTACTTTTCAATACCTCGCTGTAAGCTAAAATGCATTGCTCTCTGCTTAAGTTCATCTTGATGGTTTAGATATGATACCTGATATCCGCTGCAGAGCACTAATGCATACGCTTTCTGTTTTATTGACCAAGGCCATTTCCTGCCCGCCTAAATATATTTACCGTCTGCCTGCACATACAGAATAGCAAAGATCAAGAGTTTTAACCCAAAGGATTGCAATTAAATCCATATTCATATGAAACTTTCACGGACAGCTGATGGTCAACAGTGGTTCTGCAATCTCTGTTCATGTCTACTTTTTACCTTACAGATTCTGCTCTGTGTAGTTATGAACAATCATTTATCAGATTTGGAATTTCGTATTACATTATAGTCGAACCGTCCAACGCATGTGATACGTTTTTAGATTGATTTCCGACCCTCCAAGCAGCAACAGCCAGTTTCCCTTCATACCAGTATGGAAATAAATTCCGTTCAGACTTGTCATCCATCACGGAGGGCACAACATCACATAAAAACATTTGTCATCGTTTATTCTTGTGAAAATTACATGATTGCATTTTCAGTGCAGGTTCAGTTTCATCCTTTCAGTGTCTCGCGTTTTGAAATATCACTGAAGATGAAGCACTCTGCCAACCTTCAAATACTCACCTCGTCTAAGCACATAAAAGCCTCAGTCTCACCATTCACACTTGACTGCACATTATTTTTGACATTATACAAGTTTTCTTCTCAAACTCCATCACTGATAGAGGCTCATTTCTTTTATTAAAGGTCAGTTAGAGACTTCTTTTCTGAGTTGTCACTTAGTCAAATCTAAACACAGACATATTTTTTAGAAGCAGTGTACACTTCCACTTCTAGGTGATATATCTATCTCTAATGAACGCAAATGAACACTTATCATCTCTGCTTAGGAATCATAATAAGCTCCTTATATCTTGCCAGAAGTCGCCTGATAATACTCACATTTGAGGTTTTCTTCAGTTTCAAAGTAATCCATTAGAAGTCGTCTCTTCACCCATGGGTTTACTGCAAATAGGAAGTGTTAAAGCAAATTCTGCACATGTTTAATTGTTCCAATATATCAAAATGTAGCCTAAGTGCTAACTAACTGCATGTCATGCTTTGTACTTCCTGTTTGCATCCCGAAATAAGCCACAAACCGTGTCAGACTTTGAAACCCCTGCCAGAAATGAAGTTTGTAACACAAAATGTTCCCAATGTTGTTCTTAAATTGTTCTGTGTTTTCGTAAAATCTAATTGCTGCCATTAGCCCCAAAAGGTATGTTGTTGGTATCTGGGTCTTTTTCCTGTGCTTTGTTGAGGTGGAAAAAAGTTATTACTTCAAGATAACGGCAGAACAAATAATATTTTTCATTTAGTTGCTTAAAAATGAATTCCCCTAAGTTTCAGAGGAGGAGACAAGTCCCATCAGAGAACAGTCGAAAAGGAAAACATCCTAATTTGAGGAGATCTCTTCATGTGTTTCCATATGCTAATGTTCAAATTCAGCCTCATTGAGCCTCTAATATTCCTCCCTGTAGTTGCCATGTCTGTTGATGTGCTCCACGATGTAGAAAATGTGCTTTTGTTGTACAGTAGCTATGCCACATCTCCTGGGAATATCTCGTCTATTTCGATGCCGTAGGTTTCTTCTCTCTCCAGAAGCTGTGCTGAGAGAGATGAAATCCACTCTTTCCACTCCTCAGGATCTTAATGATTTGTTTCTATTCCTGTCCTGAATCTAGGCTGTCAAGTTACAGATATTGATCTCTCAGTCATGCGTTATCAATCAAAAACATCAGTGCTTAGTTTCAGGCTAGATGGATGGAAACAGAGTACAGACTTGGGCTTAAATCTCTGAAGGAATTCTTGAGTCTATGTTGAACTTCACTTACTTTTAGCCGGTTAGGTATTGTTGAAAGACTCCAGCTGTAATTGACATAATAAATCAATGTCATTTCATGTGTGCCCTTCTTGGCATTTATTGGTTTTCTTGACTGAAACTGTGTTCCCCTTCTTTCTATTTTTCAGCTTCTTGAAGGCAGCTTCACGTCCCAGGTCAGCCATGAAGTCGACGGGCTTATCTTCCAGCCGTACGGGGTAAGCCTCCATCTATGTATGACGATTTGTCTGTTTTTCAAAGCCTTCGCCTCGTTGCCACAGATTGTCAGGCAGAGCGGTTTTTTTTCTCCAGAAGCTACTACATAGGATTGGGACAGCTTGTCACTACCACCGGCCGTTTGTCACTCTGTCTCGCCCCCTGTTATTGTAAGGGAAACCACACACCTACATGAATTCACACAAACGCAGGGCTCTCTATAGGAGGCTGCACAGTCAAACGGACACATGGCAGTGAGTGTGTTACAACGGAAACAGCTTGGGTAAGAATACCAATTTACTTGGTTGTTAGAACAGCAGAAAGTCACTGATATCTCCGACGTTAATAGTGTTCCTTATTTCTTCTCATGTGACGGACTCAAAGGCCCATATTCCACTGTTTAATGTATAAAATATCCTATCGCTCGTAGCACTAAAGCAGGAATAGGACCGGTATCTAAACTTTTTTTTTTAACAGCTCTTGAATATTAGTCTTGCTGTATCAACTGTTCATGTAAAGCTTCTACATCTCAATCTGAAGTGAAATTCTGCCCTCAAATTTCATTGCTTGATTTGCGTCTTTAACATTTTAGGTAATATCATGTTAAGTCATTCCTTAAATAGATTGGTGTTAAAATATAACAATTGAAGCCATGACGAGATCATGTTTTAACTAATAACTAGACTTGTGCTTGGAGAGCCTAATGATACATTCATGTGCTCCTTAGTTAAGATGATCCCATTGTCAGACTTTGGTGTGTCCAAGAGCTTTACGTTGTCAAGTAGAAACAACATGGATGCAACAGAAACAAGTGTATTTTACATTGCTCTGAGCTTTTAAGAAAAACTTGTCGATAGCTATTTTCGACTTGTTGTTTTGGCTTGAGGGGCCTTCCCAGATGAATGTTGTCACTGCAGGGCAAGTGCCATGCCTTGCGATGTTTACAAAAGATAATTTGTGTGTCCACCCTGGGGTACAACTTTCCTCCAAAATGTAATAGGTTTGTCCTTGGCCAATGCGATATCCTTTCACCGAATCTCATGAAAAAGGAGTCCTAATCCTGTAAACATGCCCGAATTGAACATGACTGCACTCTTAAAGGTAGGGTAGGTAAGAATGGAGAAACCAGCTCGAGTGCGCTAGAATTTGAAAGTACACAACCGGAAAAAATCTGCCCCTTCCTTCAGACTTCCTCACAGAGCCCCTCCTCCAACACACACGGACGCACACATGACCAATGAGGGCACGAGATAAGTTTGTGCACAGATGGAAGGCTGACAGGCAGGTAGGCCATCCAGTTACTTTAGCCGGGCCGGCTCAAATGATTGGTCGTGCTTTTTACAGTACTACGGCTTCCACAGATGACATTTTTTTATGTATTTATTGTCAAAGCATTTGATATATTCATTGCTATCGGGATGTTAAGAGCATTCCATGGAATACAACAAAAAGTGTTTCTGAAGTGAATTACCTACCCCACCTTTAATATATGTAACAGTTAATAACTCTCTTCCACACTTGTATTTAAGTTTGACGCTGATGGAAAACCATTTTGAATATTTAATGCATTCATATTGTACACCAGAGTCTAATTTGTATCCATTGGCATGCCTTCAAGCAGAGAGGGGGTATTTAAAAATTGCAAAAAAATGCAAAATGTTTTTGGCTGGACTGACTCCAGACAATTTGCAAGTCAAAGAACTGGACAGCTCTCGCCAACATGGATAATAGGTGTCAACATTGTGTGTGTGGACACCTGCAGCTTGTTTGTTTTGACCGTGGACATGTTGAACAGCTATTCAGTCAAAGGCATATAATCAGCCATGTACAACAACTGCTGCTCGGCTTATTGCTCCCTGGCCACAGCCCACTGAGTCCTGTTAAATCAGGCATTTCTGCTTTTGTTTTGCTTGAGATTGAGGTTTTAACAACAGAGATGTTCTTCCTTTTTTAACTGATGTGATTTTAAAATGTAGTACTTAGATTGAGTCTGTATTGAATGTAGCTAATTGCCATCCGAGGGAATAAGCAGATGTTATAACATGGTGAAGATTTACCTTTAAGGAGTACCATATGGATCGTTTTTGGGCTCAGCAAAGCTCGATACTGTATTTCATTGAATTCCTTTTAACCCATTGATGAGCTGGTTTGTGTTAAAAGGGCCTAAATCATGATCTTTTTCATGTTCTTATGTACATTTTGTGCCTCCACTGTGAAATGTCTCCATGCTTTAATGTTCAAAAAGCTCATACTACCTGTGCTGCAGCACCTCTTTTCACCCTCTGTCTGAGACCAGAGCCCAGTCTGCTCTGATTGGTTAGCTGGCTGGCTCTGTTGTGATTGTTCAACCTCTAAGAGATGTCCCGCCACTTAGCCTATCACGTACAATGCGCTAGCCTCTGCAGATTATTTACATGCACAAAAAACTATATAGCACACTACAGGAGAGGGAAAACCCCAAAAAGCATATCAAGTTCCCTTTAACTCGTATGGTAATTCTCAGTTTTAAAGCAACATAAAAACGATTATTTAGTCTCTGTGTTTCTCCTTCTTGTTGTTGTTTTTTGTTTGTTCTCTCCTCCTGTGATTTGTTTAGTAATTATCATACAGTGTATGCAGTCAGGTGGCAGCAGATCTCCGGAGAGCTGGAAATTAAATTTGGAGGAGGCAAGTTTACACAGCTGCCCTTCCTCTCCACCACAACACGAGCAGCTGCATCTCCAAAAACCAAACTCTCTATGGCTGGTCACTGTCTTGATCAATATGGCAACACAAATGTCTTACTTTAGCAGGTGCTTGCAATCCCTGCCAATCTGCTTTACTTGATGTCCAACATAATCATTCCCAGCCTGTTTTTCACATACTTTCTTGTCTAATGTGGATGTTGCTTCTTTATAAAACAGATGTGTTGTGTGTCGAGAAGAAGGGATGTTAATTAGTTTCTTATTCCCACAGTTGATTTCTGTTCTGCTGGAAGATAACTTAATAACATCGAAAAATCATTGCTTTAGTTTTAAGTGCACAGAAATGCTTTGGAGAATCTTTTTAGGAGCTTGTTTTTGAAGTTGTACACAATTCAGAGCAGAACATGGTGTTGGATTGAGAGCCAGACAGCTATTGATTTATTTTCTTCTGTTAGTGAGTGTGACGAACAACGGTGCCGGAAAAAGGTGTTGAAAGCACTGTGGTCCTCTGGGCGTAAGGATGTGTGTGGCGTTTATCGAACCGGACGAGGAAATTGCGACAACATCATCCACATCCCAGTCATGGATTAGGTAGACACTTTAACCAGGCCTGGGATTTGTTTTGGCAGGTGCTTTTGAAATGATTGCTGTTCAACAAGCAGGCATAGAATCAGCCGGGACAATGTGCAAATGTTCTGTTAAGAAGGAAACTGATTGCATGGACAGGTCCTTTCCCTTCGCTGGTGCTTTTCGTCACCTGCTTTATATAATTCTTCCTTTTGAATTGGATGTAACTTCCACTGCACTGCGAGAGTGTACATGACAAAAAGCTCAATTTTAGATAAAGGAACGCTGTCTGTGCTCAGTCCCATTCTGTCAATCTGGGATCACCGTTCAGTGAGATGTTTCTCAGCAGTTTCATGACTCTGACAGAAGGTGAGCAGCTGGTTCTCGTCTGCACAGACAAACTAATGGGCCGGGTCGGGAAGCTGACAAGTCTAATGTGGCTAAAGGATGATGCAACTAGTCAGCCATCTGATGTAACATCGCAACAGCAGCTTTTATACTCTACCTTTTTTTACTTTTTTATCAGCATCTTCAATAAACATATGGGTTATTTATGAGTTTCACTAAAAACTGCAGCAGAAACTCATTCAAATGGTAACAACAACCCTAACCCTCCATAGGCCAAGGTGACAGACTGCACCTGCTGTTTGTTGCATTTGAAGATAAGTAAGAAAAAGTCTTGTCGCAGTGTTCATGATTGTTCACATAAAAGAAGCACTAACACAATCAGTAATAGCAAACGTAACCTTATGTTAAAGAAGATGGTCTGATGTGATGCCCTGCACCAAATACAAACGTTCAGCACGATGGCAAACAGCGCTGGAGAAGTATTTTTCAAAAGGTTATTAAATATTTACTGGGGAAAGTTAAGGACATTGGCTGGAGGCAGATAAGGCGTCGAGGGGCATGGCTGCTTTTCGCCAATTTTTTTGTTTAACTTATCTTAGGGGGGTGATCTTTGAAAAGCAAGAGAATACAGCTTTGTGATGTTGAGATATATTTCCCCCCGGTTTTCTGTTTTGTCTGCAGCATAAACAGAAAGTGAAGCTCCAATAATGAGCTGTCCGCAAGCCATCCACCTTTGATGTTACCTTGCATATAAAGCAAAGTTTGGCGTTGTGTGGTTTGTGAATTAATGCACTTTTTGAAATGCATTCACTTGCCCTGACCTTTAGCTTGTGTAAATGGGTTATTGATTGACACCGTGGCTGATGTTTGAAATGTCCTCGATATGGTGACGAGTGTAAATAACACATTATTTGAGAAGCATGCTGTGCAGTGGGAGCGAACATTTGGGGTTGTGTGAGAGAGCTCTTAATGCCATTTCAGACAGCTTTTTGTTCTCTGTGAAACACATTGGATTTTTTTACCTCTTCTGTAGGAAATCATTGTTTAATTGCTTTGATTAGCCATATCTAGAATTTAGGAGATTATGATTGGTGTTGTATTAGCATCTGGTTTCTCTGAACGCTGTGTCAGGGTAACATTTTCGAGAATGTGTTTTTGAACATTGCAGGTTTACATTAATTGTATCACATTTTGGTTGAAAATTGAAAATTCTTCTCTGAATGTGATCCATCCTTTATTAAGTGAGAAATGTCATCTCTCCCACAAAGTGAAATTACCTTAAAACTGCATATTTGATAAGATTTGTTTTTCAGGCGTATTACTTGCTTATTAAAAGGCCTTTTTCACTGCAGTTTTACGACGGAGTATTAGGGCCACACTTAGAAGAAAAAAACAGAGAGATT